GCTATTCCACCTGAACAACAAGTCCAATGTCGAGAGAGTTAAGGCAACGGGGACAGGTACAGGATTAAAAACTGAACCGAAACGACAGGAGAGTCCATCACACACACACACACACACAGGCCTGACGATTGCATCTAGCATGAAACAGACTGTCGCCTCTAAGTGTTGACATCTATGCTCACTTTTATATTTATATATATATATATATATATATATATATATATATATATATATATAGAGAGAGAGAGAGAGAGAGAGAGAAAGACAGACAAACAGACAGACCAAGGCACGGAGGAAGCTACGTTACGGCAATGGAAAGTGTCCGAAGCCGCGATGCCTCGTCAGAACCGATAATATTTCAGATTTTGTAAATTTTCTCTCATACTTTATAATAATTTATACTTTGTAGCAATATATTGCACATTGATGACGAACTGTTTACTCCGACATCCAGCGTATGTTCTATGCGTGAAGGTGGCAGTGAGTAGAAGTAGCAACTTTGTTACTCGGCTGCTGCACTTATTATTAAGATGGACGGACAACACTGGTCTTCACCCATCCCCTAAATCTCTACGCGCCAAATCCTATAAACCGCTCTCAGCAGGCGGGCTAAATCACGTGAAATTACCATCGAAAGCCGCTGCACTCTTCTGTGCACTGCTAGGACCGGAGAGGTAAAACTCCGTAATAATAAAACCTGAGGGGTGTTGTTCATTGTGTTCGTGGCAAATACTTAGACCAAATCCTTGTTATCAACACTTCCAATAAGTGTGGCTGGTTCTACACAAGCCTTCACCACTCTGAACAAATCCTTTGTGTGGATAGTTTGCAGTTCAGTTGTATTACACCTGATCAACAAGTCCAATGTCGAGAGAGTTAAGGCGAGGTTGACAGGATTAAAAGCTGAACTGAAAGACACTCATACGTCGAAAATGACGGGAGAGTCCATCATATATATATATATATATATATATATATATATATAACTTGTGTGTATTTAGGCAGCATTTTTTCATTGATGCATGTATCATTAAATAATATAGACAAGATTTGTCTATTTTATGTAAATTCTTTTCATATCTTGTGATAAGCTTAGATGTCCGGTTTGTTGGTGTTAAGGCTATTTCAATTTGCCTTTTCACAAGGCTGCATTTATAATTCCAAATGTTGATAATTTGGTGGGCTGCAGGATCATTAATTTATTTTGTGTGTATTTAGGTACCATATATATATATATATATATATATATATATATATATGTGTGTGTGTGTGTGTGTGTGTATATATATGTATGTATGTATGTATGTATGTATGTATTTTAAGACATTTTATGTTTATACATCCTTTTTATAGATACAAATATTTAAGTAAATGCTCTGTTTTATAATAAACAGTGTTAAACAATATTTACCGGCCTGAATGTCCGAGAAATTTTCATAGAAAATTTTCGTCCTCCGACAAGAATCGAACCTGTATCCTATACAGAACTGTCATATAGCCTGACGTGCCTTTAAGTATTTGGTTAGCAAGGTCGATTTTATATTTGAATCTATAAAAAGAATGTATGAACATAAAAATGTCTTAAAATAATTGTCGGACTTTGTCCATTTCATAATGTGTGACGTCATTTGTTTACATTTGGAAACGCTTTCAGTAGATATGAAAGTACGTGAGAGAATCATAGGAGATTACAGTTTAAAGACAGTAAAATCGACCTTGCTAACCGAACGATCCTCTGTGGCCGAAACGGTTAAAGGCACGTCAGGCTATATGACGGTTCCGTATTGGATACAGGTTCGATTTCTGTAGGAGGACTAAAATTTTCAATGAAAATTTCTCAGACATTTTAAATACTGTTTATTGTAAAACGGGGCATTTACTTAAATATTTGTATCTATAAAAAGAATGTATAAACATAAAAATGTCTTAAAATAATTGTCGGATTTGTCCATTTCATTATATATATATATATATATATATATATATGTGTGTGTGTGTGTGTGTTGAAACTTGACTAATGCATGGAATAATAATGCCACACAAAATGTACTTAGAACAAAATGTATTGAAACAAGAAAATGTACACACTATTTACATATAGTCTTTTGTATATTCCTGGTAAAACCGTTCCTGGAGAATGTGTTGACTGAGTCGCAGTCGGGCAGTGTCTCTGGTTGAATCTCTTGATTCCTCCCTCTCTTTCCGGTACCAACCATATTTATATGGTCAGTACTCCACTATGCAAATTAGGTGGATCCTACCACAACAATATATATATATATATATTAGGGAAAAATCTCTATTGAAAACATTGTTTCACCTTGCCTTACATTTTCTCCAAAATTGCTCTTGTTATATGAAAAAATATATCGCTAACTCCGAATTGATATAATTGATGACGTCTCGGAATTGAAACTCGGCTCTCCGATTAATATTTCCGTACTATCACTAATTACACCACCCGCACATCCAAGCTGACAGTATCTGATATACTCAAACTGTCAGTCTATTACTTACTAGCCAGGAGATTAACTTCGCCATATCACGTTGCAGCACCGGTTCTCGGACAACCCGTGTTTCAACGTGATATGGTCGTACGCCATTTCTGCTAGTAAATCGATTATAATTTTTTCAACATGTCTTGCTTTTTGAGCGAGGGAAAAAAGACACTTCCCCAGAAAAATTGTCCTGTGACTTTTTTATTTTTTACTCATATGTTTTGTTTTTTTCTGCGATTAAACGTGCAATTGGTGTGATGGATTACAGTTTGGAATGGAAAGTCGGAGAATCGAGTTCGAATGCAACCGATTTACATTCAGTCGCGTGTAAATACACTAAGGATATGTATGAATCCATCTCCCCGAGCTATGGGTTAAATAGACCGGGTCCTGTAGCCTTGACTTTGCAATCAGTCTACCGCAGAAAGAAGCGTCAACTTTCAAATGCGGTTAATCTTCTGCCTAGCTAGTCAAGAATCGAAATGATTTCCCAAGTGTGTATCACATGAAACTTAACTGACTGAATTACTGTAAATAAAAAAAAAAAGAAATAAGAGGCTAAGCGCAAATACCCTTAGGGAAGGTATTTGTTATGGGGTCCACCCCTTTTGCATACAAGTGGACTCGTCCAGTGTGTATTTGTACTACTGCCGGAAGTCGGAAGTTGTAGAGTAATACAGGAAGTGAGAGTGTGAGATAACCGCTTTGTAGAAGTCACAGTTTCGAGCACGTAGACTCAGAAGGAAGTCATAGTTCGATACTGAATTTCCCAGACTGTATATATATTATTATTGCTACTAACCGCATTTCTGGTTCTACTAACCGTATTACCAATTGTATTATTACGACAATACATTTATTCGCTATATTTTATTTCTGTGTTTGTCATTCATTTGAGACCGGATTTCATCTTGGAATCCACAACAATATATATATGTACAATTTGTGTGTGAGATGGTTAAATATAACAAATCCTAATGAATATTTAATACGGTTATAATTATAATTTTATATGCAAAAACTGAACAAAATAGCGAAAAGGTCATCTGAACAATTACCAGTAAAATATTTATAGAAAAAGGCATAGGTTGACTACGTTAATGGCGGTGGGAAAGTGATTGAAGTCGAGATGCCATGTTTGGTTTTGTTTATTTTGTGTTATGTGGTCCACCCCTTTTTCCTACAAGTGGACTCGATCAGTGTGTACTTGTACTGCTGACAGTGAATACCCGGGAGATATAGAGAGATACACTGATACAGTGATACAGTGAGAGTGTGAGGTAACCGCTTTGTAGGAATCACAGTTGCGAGCACGTAGACTCAGAAGGAAGTCATAATTGGATGCTGAATTTCCCAGAATGTATGTATATTATAATTGCTACTAACCGCATTTCTGGATCTACTAACCGTATTACCAATTGTATTATTACGACAATACATTTATTTGCTATATTTCATTCCTGCGTTTGTCATTCATTTGAGACCGGATTTCATCCCGGAATCCACAACAGCCCCTCTCGGCTATGGTTTAGACAGATTGGGTCCTGTAGATTGGTTTGGCAAACAGTCTACCGCAGAAAGAAAGAAAGAGCAAATTACTGAATTACAGTAATAAAAGCAATAGGACACTAAGAAAAAGCCGGAAGCTGGCTCAGTAACAGAATAAAATTATGATCAGTTATACACCAGGAACTATGCAAAATTAGAAAACTATCTTGAACGTGGAACATTAGAATGCATGTCGATAAATACCCAAAGCATGAGAATTAACACTTGGAGAAAATAGAAATTTAAGAGAAAAAAAAAACAAAACAAGATTTTGTGTTGGAGTCTACATGAGTATTGTGAATTTTTTTAAAGATTTCAGGGGACTTTTTGGCACTCAGTCCTCAATGATTGTTGATATACCTTAAGTAGAAACATATAAAGGCATGAAATACGGAAGACCAGATGCTGTAAGCTTGGAAGTGCGGGTGGTGTAATGAATAATGACTCGGAATTGTTAATTCCCGTTGCTTTCATTATATTCACATACATCCAAATACTCTTGGGAAATGCATGAATCCAACTATTCTACCCCACAACTATGGGTTAATTAGTAAGACTTGTGTCAGTAAACTATTATTATCTTTAAAAAAATATACTTACAATATAACCTGGAAAGGATTGATAATCCTAATCCATCAAAAAAATACTGAGAGTCAAAGAGAGAGGGAGTAATGTAGAGAGACAAAATAGATGTGCAATACAGGGTGGGAGTGAAGGAGGGGTCATCTTAGATAAAGTCAGTTGTTTGTAATGAGGGGTTTAATCATCTTTCGTCATCTTACGATCTGTTGTGGGCAATTTCACCGCTGGACTGGAATTTGCCTTTTGAAATTAAAATTGTTCTTTAATTACTAAAAGCTGATTGCTATATAATTTAAAGGGACGATATTCTTTTAATCAAAACCATTCTTAAACCCAGACTGTATTGAGTGTCTGAGAGGGAAACGGAAAGACAGAGGGGCACAGGGAGAGATAGATAGATAGATAGATAGATAGATAGAGAGAGAGAGAGAAAGAGAGAGAGACGTATAACGACGAAATGAGAGGGAAGGAAGTGGGGTAATCTTAGAAAAAGTAATTTGTTTGTAGTGTGGTATGAAATACTGTTTCGTGACCTAACGATCGGTTGAGAGCAATTTCGCCCAAGAACTGCAAAATCAAGTTTAGGCATTAAAGTCAATTTTAAATAAATTTAAATCATATTTTCATTAATTGGCCATATGCTAAGAGAACCCAGACTGATTTAGGTAGAGAGAAAGAGGAAGGAAGAGAGAGGGGTAGAAGACAAAAAGGTCGAGAGAGAGAGGAGGGGAATTAGAGAAAGGGAGAGAAAGGGAACATAGATGGAGGGAGAGAGAGAGAACTTAGAGGGTCGAGAGAAAGAGGAGAGATAAAGGGAGAGAGGTGGACATAGAAAGAGAGGACATGGATTGTCCGAAAGAGAAACAGAAAGAGAGAGGAATATAGAGTAAAAGAGAAGCAGAAAGAGAGAAAGAGGGAGGGAAAGAGAGGGGGAGAAGAAAAGAAGGTCTAGGGAGGGGGGACATAGAGAGAGTGAGAGAAAGGGAACATAGATGGAGGGAGAGAGAGGGAACTTAGAGGGAGAGAGAGAGAGAAGAGAGATAGAGGGAGAGAAGTAGATAGAGTGGACAGAGAAGTAGGACATGGATTGTCCGAAAGGGAAACAGAAAGAGAGAGGAATATAGAGAGTAAAAGAGAAGCAGAAAGAGAGAAAGAGGGAAGGGGAGAGAGGGGGAGAATACAAGAAGGTCGAGAGAGAGGGTGAAAATAGAGGGAGGGAGAGAAAGGGAAAATAGATGGAGGGAGAGAGAGGGATCTAGGAGGGAGGGAGAGAGAGAGGAGAGATAGAGGGACAGAGGTAGAGAGAGTGGACATAGAGGGAGGACACTGATTGTCCGAAAGGGAAGCTCAAAGAGAGAGGGACATGGAGAGTAAAAGAGAAGCAGAAAGAGAGAGGGACATAGAGAGTAAAAGAGAAGCAGAAAGAGAGAGGTTCATAGAGAGTAAAAGAGAAGCAGAAAGAGAGAGGGTCATAGAGAGTAAAAGAGAAGCAGACGGAAAGAGGGTCATAGAGAGTAAAAGAGAAGCAGAAAGAGAGAGGGTCATAGAGAGTAAAAGAGAAGCAGACGGAAAGAGGGTCATAGAGAGTAAAAGAGAAGCAGACGGAAAGAGGGTCATAGAGAGTAAAAGAGAAGCAGAAAGAGAGAGGGTCATAGAGAGTAAAAGAGAAGCAGAAAGAGAGAGGGTCATAGAGAGTAAAAGAGAAGCAGAAAGAGAGAGGGTCATAGAGAGTAAAAGAGAAGCAGAAAGAGAGAGGGTCATAGAGAGTATAAGAGAAGCAGAAAGAGAGAGGGTCATAGAGAGTAAAAGAGAAGCAGAAAGAGAGAGGGACATAGAGAGTATAAGAGAAGCAGAAAGAGAGAGGGTCATAGAGAGTAAAAGAGAAGCAGAAAGACAGAGGGACATAAAGATATATATATATATATATATATATATATATAGAGAGAGAGAGAGAGAGAGAGAGAGAGAGAGCGACGAAAAGAGTGTGATTGGAGTGGGGTCATCTTAAATAAAGGAATTTGTATGTAGTGAGGTTTGAAATTCTATTTCATGACCTCACAATCTGTTGAGGGCAAACAACTGCAATTTCACTTCTGATCTAGAACTGACCTTTTGAAATTAAAATCATTTTTTAAATAATTATGTTATATAATAAAAAGAAATCAACTATTCATGCTCACCTGTATGTTAAATCGTAACATACACTACATTCTTTAGTCTCAGCTGATAACCATTTTAGTGATGGTGATTCGATAAAGTCACCTGTCTTCCAGCAAGACTGAGACACTCGAAAGGATTCATTCGTCCATGGAAACAGACATTGACTGAAATCCTTCAGTCAAGCCAGTTGAACACTCAACCGCAGGGTATGGGGAGTGAAATTGTTTATTTACTATTAAAGCTATTGCAATAAAAAAACAAAACAAAAGAAAATAGAACTGCTGCTGCATTTAACAACCTTGACGCAGATTCATAGAGCAAAATTGAGTTGTAACCAGCGAAAAAAGAACAATTGACAAGATTGGCGAACAAATGTTCCCTAAAATATCGACGGAAGCACAAAAATATCTTCTATCATTTCGACTCGTACATCAGTAATTTTCTTCGACTGTAATTTCTATATTTCTCATGCATTCTCCACTGCCAACTTAACGTCCGTTACTAGCTGAAAATCTCTAAGACTGATTCTATGAAGACTTTTGGTGAAAATAAAAATCTATCTGGATCAGAGAGGAAAACTGATAAAAATCTCTTTTCGACAATGGTTCATATCTGACCAGTATATTAGAAATTAGGGACCAATTTTCTTCTTTTTGGACATTCAACGTGCTAAGCTATAGAAACCAGTATCTGTTTGACGATGTGATGCTTCATTTAACGGCGTATTAAGATGATGAAACAAGAATTCATATATATTTCTATTGTAGAATTTTTCATATGAATTTAATTATCGAAAAACCTTAATCGAAAAAGGTCATGTTTAAAAAAAAAAGTTAAATTCCTCGTCCTTGATAAATACAGGATAAAAATAAAGACAATTACTGTTAAATATAAAATGGCGACAATTTAACCATCGCACGTTGTTTTAATATATAGTTGTTTAGCAACCTTTCTTCTCAACATCTTTCATTGTATGCAACATATAAGGAAGATATAATTATTTTTTTCATGTTTTGAATGTTTAAGTTTTATTTCATTTTTGTGTTCTTATGAATAGGAGCGTTTATTCCGAGCCTTCAAATTATTTTTGGCTAATGTTTTTTTTTTTTATTTGTTATAGTTCACTCAGAAATTTATATACTTTTGTTTTTTTTTTAAGTTTTTTTTTATATTGTCTTCATACATATATAATTTGTATCTGAATTTTTGCACGTACAAATATCTATATCTATCTATCTATCTATCTATCTATTGAAGTGCGACGAGAGGTACTTGCTCGGTCAACCAAAGAACGAAGTCTACTTTCTCTGCAGGTCAACAGCATTTCTAAAAATAAATAATTTTGAAGTTTCAAGAAAATAACTCATTTGGAAATTTCAAGAAATTTTTTAAAATAGTTAAAGAATGAATAAATACATTTTTCGAAGAAAAAAAAAAAATATATATATAATAGTTTTATAATTATTTTTTAAAAATATGACTCCATCGCGACACAAAAATTACAAAAGCTGTTCCACAAGTGTTAAAATTTTAATTTCAATATTAGATCTTAACTTTAGATGACCGTTTCTTTCTCAAGCGATGTTTGAAATAACTCACCAAAGAAATATTTTACACATTTATAGTTTGGAAATGGAGGTGTAATTAATCTTGGGTTTTGTTTTTCATTATCAAGGGGTCTCTGCTTTGATGAAAGTAGGAATGTTTATTATTATATGTCAAGATTTTGGACTCATGTTATGTTGGGTTCGGGGATATTTGTCTAGTTGCAATGGCCATTTCTATTTGGCTTTTTTTGTTTTTATTACTATCTGCTAAAACTCACATTGATTGATTTTCGAGTTAGTCTATTTGGTGAATATTTATTTGTTTTTTGGGGGGTTGCTGATGATTTTTTATGGGGGTGCTAAGATTATGATTGGGTTTTATTTATAAACCTATAGTTTTAATTGAATTTGCTAATAGATATTGTATGGTATTTTGTAATTTTTTTTTATATATTTTAGGATTTAATTTTTCTTGCGAATTTTTTCCCTATCCATTTATAAAATACTATTTTTCAGGGGAATATTTGTTGGTGTCTGCAAAAAACGGTTATTTCATTTCTTTGATTTAATAATATTTTGTTTTTTAGAAACTTGATAATGTGTAGTATTTCATGTTGGCATCATGTCTTTTGAGTCATTGATATGTTGGAATGTCCAATGACGCCTCAAAGACAGATTTCGTGCACTTCGTTTTAAATTATTTTTAAGAATAGCAAAAATACTGCTCTTTATCCATCATAGCCTGTACTCTCACTAGTTCTCCTGGTCCCGGAGCAGCAAAAAAATCCCCAAAGCAGAATGCTCCCCCCAACGTGCTTAATTGTAAGGAGTGTAATTTTTGTTTGTGAGATTCATTCAGTTTCCTCCATACATAACGGGAGTTTATGTGACCAAATAATTCTAGTTTGGTTACATCTGGCCATAAAAGAGTGTTCTATATTTACCCCCTTATTCTGAATGACTTCTCGCATGAGCTAATCTACATTTTAGGTGTTTGGCCATAACACTTTGAGCCCTGCGGTCCTGAACAATTTGAACCCCTCTGCTTGAGTCAAAATGAATATCAATTACTTCCTGCGCTGTGTATAGTTATCTTCTGTTAAATTTGGTCCCTGATTGCATCCCTGATGGTTCAGACTCTGTACACTCTTTTCTATCCAATTTACAATGAAAACGCACGGACATGTTAGTATAACGTTTGATGAAATCAGAATATTATGGCTTTTCTGATTGGCTCTTCAAAATAAGACAACCAATAGCAAAACACGACGCAAATGTTTACCCACCATTCAACCGGTGGCTGGGCATTACGTCATTTTTCTATACCACTGTTGAACCGGTGGTTGGGCATTACGTCATTTTTTCTACCACTGTTCAACCGGTGGCTGGGCATCACGTCATTTTTTTCTACCACTGTTCCACCTTTGGCTGGTCATTAAGTCATTTTCACTACCACCGGTAAAGCGTTAGTCAGAGCTCAAAGTATTAAGCAAGAGAATTTTCTTTGGATGTCAAACTCGAAGTCCTGCTCAATGAAAGCATCTAGTGACTGTCTTCATCGATATATTCAACTGTGATGCCTTTACATCATTGACAATGTCATTTGTCGTTAAGCGAGGATTCTTCAAGACATATTTAACAATTTTCCTTTCCATTTTCTCAGAAAAGTAACTATATTCTGCCAGTCCTTAATTTATTCACAACACAATGGTTTCCATTGTACTTCTTGATAATGCTTTAAACTGTCAATCTGGGAACAATTAAACGCTTGGAAAGTGTTGCATATCCATCACTTTTTATTGGAAGTTTCTTGTCTAGTTCAGCCATCTTTGCCATAGTTTCACAACTAATGAGTTATCGAGGTACGTGGCACTCACATATTGTCTTCTTCATTACATTTTATAATGTTATAAAATCAGGTCAATACTACTTCATTTACAAAGGTCGTTTGTATTAAATATCAAAGTAAGAAATTAAGGTAATATTAATTCATGCTATTTCATAATTTCCATAATCGGAGGTCGAGAATAATTTTGGGACGCATCAATTTTTATAAAAAATCTATAGCAATGAGTATAATAGATGGAAACCTCTAACAATTTCACGAATTATTAAAAACTAAATACAGAATCAGCTATATATGCTTGATATAAAAGGCTCAAACACTGATATTCCCTGGTTATAATTTATTACACTGGAATCGTAATCACGATCCAATTCATCAGAGCTACAAATTCTATCCTCTTGGGAATTCATATATATATATATATATATATATATATATATATATATATATATATATATACATTTACCACTAATATTATAAATATCTATCTATAAATCTATATACATATATATATATATGTGTGTGTGTGTGTGTGTGTGTAAATGTATCTAAGTACATATTTGCTTCTCATTTATACTTAGACATGTGTCTATATATGCTGCCTTCTCGTAGCGATGTAATAATATATATAGACACAAGCATTCTAACATATATATATATATATATAAATATAAAAGGTTCAAACACTAATATTCCATGCTTATAATTTATTACATTGGAATCGTAATCACGATCCAATTCTTCAGAACAACAATTTCTAT